TGTCAAACCATAACATAATTCTTAACATAAAATCAAAATATTAATTCAAAACATAATCTTATTATCAGAGTAAAACATCCCATGCTGACTAAATATGGTGTGTGCCATGCAATCATCTCGAGTTCTTCCCTCCACTACCAGAAGTACCTGAAACCAAAACTGAAAACTATAAGCACGAAGCTTAGTGAGCTCCCCAAAACTACCACATACCATACAAAAACACGTAAGCACATACTAGGCCTGGCCCACTGCATCGGAATGAAATCCGGACTAACTGGGGCCTTGCCCCCTGCATAGGACCGAAGTCTGGAAACTGCATCGAATCGAAGTCCGGACTAGCTAGGGCCTTGCCCCCTGCATCGGACCAAAGTCCAGCTAACTGCATCGGACCAAAGTCCGGACTAACTGGGACCTTGTCCCCTGCATTGGACCGAGTTCGTATGAAGAAGATATGAATTTTCGAAGTTTATTAAATAATTAATAATTAAATTTAATTATTAAATCTAGCATTATCCCAAGAGGAGTCATCGGACTCATCCGAAGTACGCCCAACGTACTAGCGTATGCCCCGCGTACAGCGAAGCATGACATGCCTCGCACTCGAGTTCTTCAGATGACGCATGCAGTGATGAATTCGGAGGCTTACGCCCCGCGTAAGGTTGTACGCCTAGCGTACGACGAGGCTCCAGCCTCCTATAAATAGGATGCGAGGGCAGCCGGCTCAATTGCTCTTTTTCTCTCTTCTCTCTCCCGTTTTACCTCGATTTGCGTGCCAGAAGTACCCCGAAGCCTCGATAATATTCCCAAGCCCCGAAGCAAGTTTCGAAGCCCCGAAGATCCCGAGAAGTGCGATTCCCGAGCCGAAGCTCTGTCCTCGAGAAGTTCGATTTTTTGTAGAGATCTTCCAGATCTGCTAAGGATTACTACTTCTACAAGCCGTAGTGCTGTCCGATCATCTTCTGATCAAGTGAGTGTGTAGTTACTTTCTTCTAACGCATAATTATGAAGTATTTTATACGAAATGTGTGTTGTGTGTATAATTTTGTTGTTATATGTGTGAATGTATATTCATTCTCTTCTATCTCATACATCTGGTGTATTTTCTATGAAATACGTGTTATGTGGGCGTGCCTCATCTGTTATGTGGAATATGTATTGAATGAAAATGCTATACAGGTTTTTAAACTATGTATAAAATTATATATATTTTTATCTACTAATATGTTGGGTAGAACATGGGTAGATAGTTGGTGTGTAATAAACAGATGAGAGGCCTCGATGTTGTTGTTGTTGACCTAGTTATTCAGCGGAGTATGGATAACGACCACAGACTCCTTCTAGGCAGTCTCGTGGAACACTAGCAGGTTCATAACCTGTTGGTGTTGTGAACGATGTGTTCACCGGTGTACTCTATCCCCCTCATGGTTGCCTTTAGGATATCTATTGTTGAGGAAACCCCTTAGCAGTAATGTCCGTCCCGATGAAAATCCTAGATTAGGTCCCTTGAGATAGATGTTGTTTTAGGGACGTAAAGTGAGGATAACGGGAATGGGTAATCGGGATAGTGATTGGTTGGTGAAATTAAATATAATTTATTTATTGTGGGTTGAAAACCCTATATGCTCACCAGGCTCCCAAGTTTGACCCACTCACTTTTATTTGTATTATAGGAAGTGGCGCAAGGGCGTAAGATGGATGAATCATAGACGTTGTTTTGTTTACAAGTCTATATATGTATATATTTGTTGAATGAATTGTAATGTTATCGTTTATGCTTTATGGTCTGTATCAGAACATGACATCCCAAGTTTTGATTATATAATGAAAATGCATCTTTTGATGAAATGCTTTGATAAATATTATTTTATCATGTTTTTTTTTGGGAACAAATTCCGCAACACTTTTAAATCAAAAGGATTTACTCTGAAATTATTTAAAAAACCATAAATGAAATCGGTCTTTTCTGGCCGTGATTTTGGGGATGTCACAGTTGGTACCAGAGCATTAGTTTAAGAGAACTAGGAATTTGTAGGATTTATAAACTTAAACTTAGAATGCTAATTGGAATTTTGAGATGTGTGTCTGTTGGATTTAGACATGAGCACTAGTTTGTTTTTAGGAAATTTGCCTAAAATGCTTTTATGTGCTAAATGTTATATGTTGCCATATATGATATTATTTGTTCGGATCTACGGTTTGTTGCCAACCAGATCTGAAGGTTTATGTGTTTAGGATTCTAAGCGTATGTATACGATTTTAGAACTAGCATGTAATCGTTTCGGAGTGATAAGGATGATTTGAAATCTATCATTAATGAAGATCTAAATTTCACCTTATTCGGTGTATATATCAAAAATGGTGAGAACAAGAAGCGGTGTTGGAAACGCAGATGAAAACAGAAATCAACCGCTAGTGATTGAGCAAGCACCTGTTGTAGCAGCAGTACCAGAACAGATCACCATGGCTGGGGTGCAAGCCATGATTTGGGCTATGTTATCCGAACAAAGGGAGGAGATGCGACAAATGTTGCATAATAATAGGGACGAACCTATCATACCTATTGAGGAACGCGAATTGATTCCCGAGCAATCGGAGGAAGGGAACAATAGTCGCATTATGAGTCAAGTTGGGACTCAAGGAGAACGAATGAACGATCCGGAAAGGAGAAACAACAAGGATGGGCGAATGTACAAGAAATTCATGGGTGCCAAGCCGCCAAGTCTTTCTGGGAGCCCAAAGCCTGTTGAGATAATGGATTGGATCTCCGAAATGGAGATGGTATTTGAAAGTTGCGACTGTAGCAACAAACAGAAGATTGTCTTTGCAGTTAGACAACTGAAGATTGGAGTATTAAGTTGGTGGAAGTTGTTGGCAGATACTATGCCACGAGGAGAAGCTTTAAAAATGTCATGGGAGGAGTTCTTGGAACAGTTAAGGGTGCAATATTGTTCAGAGATAGATCGGATTGATCTGAACAATGAGTTCCAAAACTTGAAGAAAGGGAGGATGAGCGTAGACGACTATGCTACGACATTCACTGAGAAAATGAAATTATTTCCATACCTAGTGCCAACGGAACTCTCCAAGATTGAGAGGTTTGCTAATGGACTGCCTGCCGACTTTGGTCTGACAGTCAAGATGGCAACTACTCTGAAAATGGTTGTTCGTGCAGCTAAGAATGTGGAGGCCCAGCAGAAGGAAAAGGGTCTGGAAAGGATAGAAGTTGGTGAAAAGAGGAAGTTTGATGGAACTTTAGGGTCCAATAAGAAAAACAAGTTCTCGAAGTCTGGTTCGAGGGGAAGTGGAGGCGAAGCGAAATGGCACGAAAAATGTAAGAAGAAGCATCATGGAAAATGTGAGGCAGTGGCCACATGCTACAAGTGTGGAAAGCCAGGTCACTATGTCAATGAATGTACCCTCACTAAGAAAGTTTGTTATGGTTGTGGTGAGGAGGGACACATGTCGAGGGACTGCCCGAAGAAGAAGGAGGCAACTAGACCCAACATTCCGCCAAAGCCAAAGGCGAGAGCATTCCAGATGACACTGGAAGCTGCTAAAGATGAAGCTGATGTCGCTTCAGGTACCTTTCTCGTTAACAATTTGCCTGCCCAAATTTTATTTGATTCTGGAGCCAACTACTCCTTTATATCGCATGAATTTGGTAGAAAACTAGCTTTGCCTGTTGATAGACTAGATAATGCCTTATTAGTCGAAGTTGCTAGTGGCAAGTTTGTACCTGTTAGCCATCGTATGAAAAACATTTTAATTGATCTGAATGGGAATAAGTTCCACGAGGAATTATTGCCTATATAACTTAATGGTTTCGACATCGTATTGGGAATGGATTGGCTTAGCGCCAATGACGCTGAGATATTGTGCAAGAAGAAGATAGTTAAAGTAAACCTGCCTGGGAAAGATTCGTTTATGGTGTATGGGGACAAACGCCGAGTGAATTCTGGAAACATTTCCCTAATGAAAGCCAGAAAGTGTTTGACCAAGGGATGTACATCATATTTAGCATTCATGATTGATGCTAAGAAGGAAAAGAAGGTGATGCAGAGTATTCCAGTTGTGTGTGATTATCCGGAAGTATTTCCCGAAGATCTTCCTGGATTACCGCCTGATCGACAAGTGGAATTCCGTATTGACTTGTTGCCCGGAACAACGCCAATTGCAAAAGCACCTTATCGATTAGCACTGACGGAGATGAAGGAGCTGATGATGCAACTTCAGGAGTTATTGGAAAAAGGTTTCATTAGACCTAGTTCCTCACCGTGGGGAGCTCCGGTGTTATTCGTGAAGAATAAAGATGGAAGTATGAGAATGTGCATCGATTACAGAGAGCTGAACAAGGCAACAATAAAGAATAGATATCCGTTGCCAAGGATTGATGACCTGTTTGATCAATTGCAAGGTTTGAGCTATTTCTTGAAGATCAATCTTAGGTCAGGGTATCATCAGCTAAAAGTAAGAGAGCAAGATATCAAGAAGACTGCATTCAGAACTAGATATGGACACTACGAGTTTTTGGTTATGTCGTTTAGACTAACCAATGCTCCAGCAGCATTCATGGATTTAATGAACAGAGTTTGTAATCCGTTCCTTGATAAATCTGTGATAGTGTTCATAGATGACATTCTGATTTATTCGAAAAGCCAAGAGGAGCATGGCAGACACTTGCGAGAAGTGTTAGACTTCTTGAAGAAGGAGAAGTTGTATGCTAAGTTCTCCAAATGTGATTTTTGGATTCGTGAAGTCCAATTCTTGGGTCACGTGGTCAACCAAGAAGGGATAATCGTTGATCCAGCGAAGATCGAAGCTGTGATGAAGTGGGAACAACCCAAAAGTCCCACGGAGATCCGAAGCTTTTTAGGATTAGCCGGATATTACCGAAGGTTTATCCAAGGTTTTTCTTCGATTGCTACTCCATTAACAGCTTTGACCCACAAAGGAGCTACTTATGCTTGGAGTGAGAAGCATAAAGAAGCAT